TGGTCGAATTATGCCCTCTGTCGGCATCTCGTCTTTTCCTTATGACTAGGAGAAGAGAAAAAAAAATTAAAATAAAGAAAGGAAAAAAAAAATTTTACTTCCGTGTTCTCCTGACGTTCTCCCGGGTTTCGGCACCAGTTAAGCGTCTCCGGGCTTTGTAAATAAAAAAAAAGAAGGAAAGAGGAACGAGAAACAATACTCACGGCTTCTGAATTAACACTCCTTTATTCGTTCAATAATCTGCCTTATATACAATTGCTATGTTTATTTACATTACAAGATGGTATTAAGGCTGATATCGCCAGTCTCCGGTCTTTATCTTATATATATATATATATATAAGATAAATAATATATAATATATAAGATAAATAAGATATAATATATAAGATAAATCCGGAGGAATAGTTCACCATGTCACAAATTTTGTGTTCGTTCAGTGTCCTTTACCTCCGAGGCACAGATATATATATATATATATATATATATATATATATATATATATATATATATATATATATATATATATATATATATATATATATATATATAAATATATATACCTCCGAGGCACAGATATATATATATATATATATATATATATATATATATATATATATATATATATATATATATTATATATATATATATATATATATATATATATATATATATATATATATATATATATATATATATATATATATATATATATATATATCTGTGCCTCGGAGGTAAAGGACACTGAACGAACACAAAATTTGTGACATGGTGAACTATTCCTCCGGAGTACAGATTTAGTAACTGAGAGAAAAATTATAATAGCTTAAAATTTTGGAACATTGTTTCCCCTGAACAAATATAAAAATGGATGTAGTGTTCTTTACCTCCGGGGTAATATATATATATATATATATATATATATATATATATATATATATATATACTTTTGAAATAGATAGGTCAAAAGTTGTCACACTAATTGTAAGTGGATACTGTTGGAATATCACAAAAGGAAATTTCATCAAACTATTAATTAATTAGTTTGAAAGGTTACATTTTAGTTTGAAATTAATTTTTTAATAGGTTATATGATGATTTTTCGGCATAAACGGGCGATAGATACCTAAATATTTAAATATATCATATCTAGATTTATTAAACTATAGTAAATATATTTAATATAAACGTATCTATGAAATATTTTTATATTTCACTTCTTCTTTCACACAAGTACAATAAAATATTAGTGGATACTGTTGGAATATCACAAAGGGAACATTCATCAAATTATTCACTAATTTAATTTTCTTACATGGCAATATTTCGGAGTAACGGGCGTTGATACCTAATTATTTAAATATAATATCAGATCTAGAATTATTAAACTACAGTAAATGTATTTAAGGTTATAAACAAATGCCTTATACATCCATGAAATGATTTGATATTTCACTTCTTCTTTCACACAAATACAATGTAATAGTTTTTTAAATAATGGCATTGCCTTGATTAGGTGGAGTTTGAATAATTTTTCCAAACTTAAAAATATTTTAAAAGTTCACATACATTTAGTTAATAAATTTCATTTAATTTCCTTTAAAACATGTGATTTATGTTAAATATTATTAGTTTTCAAAAATTATTATTTGAATTGGCACTTCCGATTTTAAAAAAAAAGTTGCCGTCTCATCTAAGGCATATAGCTATCTTAAATATGTAATATCTGTTTCATACGACTTTTCGTTTTTGAGCTAGACTGCTAACATACACACATACACACACCATTTTTCGGGACTTGGTTATTTGGACTTAGGGTATCCCAAAACGTGTATTTCCATTGAAAACTCAGATTCAAAAATTATTATGATCGCATTACTTACCCTTACTATTGTAATGTACACCTTTATTGGAAGTGAGTAAAAAGGGTTTAATAAATTAATATTGAACAGTTAAAAGGCAAGCTAGTTCTACTAGTGCAGGGAAAAGAAAATGGCTGCTCTGTAGTTTACCAAGAAGGAAAATCCCAAAGATGAGAGGGACAAAAGTTTTTGTTTTGGCAAGCAGTTGCTGCAGTGAAGAGAGGATAGAAGAAGAGATTCTGGCTCCAATGGGTAAAATCCATTAATAGTATTACCATTTTGGAAGTTGTGTTTGGCAGAACATTGGAAAGCATTTGAAGACAAATGAATTTATTGCAATAAAGGAAGAAACAGTGTATATAGAAAAAAGGTTAGCTTGCCAATTCATACTTGACTTTATTTTAAAATCAGTGTTTAATTTTAGTATAAATAGTGTAAATAATAATAGTTTGTCTGAGTTGATTTGATAGTCAGTAACCCACACCTGAGATAAATAAATATATTAATGCTCTTATAATTTTGTTTTTTATTAAAAAACCTCTTATTTATTTAGGAAGTACCCCAAAGGTAAGAAGTGAGCTTCCGAAGTTATATTATTATTTGTAAAAAATAAGAGAGATGTTACACTAAATATTACATACATACATAAGTGAAAGTAAAAAATTAATGGTACTTTTTGGGAAGCTAATATTGAAAATTAGCCATTTAAGCCCAGTTAGAGAACATCAATCAGAGTAAAACCTACCTTTTATTTAAAACCGCTTAATTTTATACTGATATAATGAATCTAATCAAAATCGTTAGTCGTTTTCGAGAAAATTGTAGAAATGTGTTTAATCCATTATATAAAGTGCCACTTCCGGTTAGCTGATTTTGATGAAATGGTTGCTGTAACATCCACAGCATACGAAAACCTTGAATATGCAATTTCACATTCATACGACTTTTCGTTTTTGAGCTGGACTGGACAAACGAGTTCAGCAACGCAACAAGCATATTCCAGTTCATTGAAGCTGTAGGAATTACGCTCAAAAAAATAGGAATGACTTTAATAGGGGTGTACAACAGACCTTCATGGCCGCTGTGCATTCATGCCACCTATAAAAATAAAAAAATGATGCTTATTGAAAAGTCTATCGATTGACGTACGGAAGTTTGTGGAAGCATACCAAGAATTTATTAAAACATCAAGAGGTGTCAGTATCTCTCCGAAAAGAGGATGGTTCATGGGCTTTGTCGAATAGAGAAAAATCTAAACTATTTGCTGACCATCTATCATCTGTATTCACACCATGTACTGACTTCATGAACACAGAACATGAAATCTTAATACTGAATACTCTAGTTATATATACTACTATCGTTGACACCACTCCCTCTTTCGTTCACTCCTCCACAGGTTGCACAACAAATCAAACAATTACCTAAAAGAAAATACCCAGGTTATGACTTAATAACTGCCGAGGCGCTCCATCAAATACTCAGGAAAGCACTAAGGTAGTATTCCTTATGACAATATACAACTGTATCCTGAGGACAACTAAAGTCCCACTACAATGGAAATATTCACATATTAAAATGATATACAAAAGGGATAAAGATATTTATAATCCTTCATCCTACTGACCTGTCAGTCTTCTTCCAATATGTTCCAAAGTTTAAAAAAAATTAATATACAAAAGATTAGTTGACATATTAATGGACCAAAAAATAATTCCTGACTATCAATTCGGATTTGGTACATTTCATTTAACCATACATCAATTACACAGAGTTACTGACCATTGCTGGAGAGAAATAATATGCAACTGGCATGTTTCTGAATGTTCTCCAGGCATTTGATTTGATAAAGTCTGGCACCAGAGACTTCTCTTTAAACTCAAAAATATACTATTTCATTCTTCAGTCTTTCCTTTTCGACAGATTTTTCTCTGTCCGACTGGGCTTAGAAACGTCCTCAATTTGACCAGTGCCAGCAGAAATTCCTTAAGGATCAATATTGGCTCCTTTACTTTACATTGCATGTAAGTGCAAGTAAATGCATGGCAAGCTACCACCTCCAAAACATTGACTGCTACTTACGCTGATGATACAACAATTTTAACAAAACATCCGGACCACAGATATGCCTTACTGAATTTACAAAATCACCTACTAAAATTACAAAACTGGTATTCACTTTGGAAAATTAGATTTAATTATGACAAATCGCAACATATAATATTTACGCTTTGATGAGACACATGCCCATCTATTTATATTGGTGACAACCAAATCCCTCAGACGGACACTGAATGTTATCTTAAGCTAATATTCGACAGAAAGATGACCTAGGGCCGTCTAAATGAAACAAAAGACTTTGAACAAGCGACTGTGATGGGCGAGCACATCGGGGCCTAGGTCCCAAAGTGCCTAGTTCTGAATGTTGTGGGTTCAAATCCCCCCTGGATCTGTTACTATTTATTTCTTAGTGGCCCCAGAAAATGAATCCTGACATTCCCACACCAGTACGTCTACTATAAGGTAGACATGAAGGATTGGCAAAAAGAACCACACAGCGCACTTACCAGATGTGTTTTTAAAATAAGATGTAATTAGTTAACGTTAAAGTTCAATTAATTTTTCCAAAAGAATTTCTAATGGATACCTCTGTGTTTAATTAAATGTTAAAAAACAGATGAATAATATGTAACTAAATAATAGGTATTTGGAAATGGAAAATATTTCAAAAACATCAAAATAAATAAAGTATTTGGAAGTGTGGAGGTTATAATCTAAAAATTCTTTATCATGATAAAAATTAAACTACATACAAATTTAACCTTCAATAACAAGAAATAATTAAACAATATTATTTAATACTTTAAAAATTTTCAATAATACAAAGAATATGTTATTTGCTTATAGCATAATTTCTTTTCAGAAATTTCAGTTTTCTGGAATGACTTTAACTATTATTTATTCTGAACAATTTTCTACTGTAATAAAGATAATGAAATAAACATTTTCCCACCCTCTGAATTCTTTACATGTTTTTTTTTTGTAATCTTATTTCAATATCTAGCATGACCGCTCTTATTAACCTAGTAGGAATACGTAACAACATTAAATCCAAATAAACAAGAAGCTATAGAATTACCATGTGTCCTTTCCTGCAGTTCTGGATGTTCTTGCAAGAACATTCTCTCACCATTTCAGAGCACAGTGGGCGCAGTGATTGTATTAAAATTTCTGTAATAGATATTAAAAATAATTATATAACATCATTTAACTCATAAATAAATATAATATATATTTTAATCTGAGACAATATAAATATTCCCGCAATTTACAACCTATTTTAATTTTTCAAAAGTAGTAATCTGGAAAATAAAATCATTATTAAAGTTAAAATAATTTTGTGTGGTAAACATACATGAACATCAATATATCTACTTTGGAAACATTGAAAATGGAAACAATTTAGTTTACAAGCCTTTTCTATTTCGTAACTTCAGTCTTACCTAGATCCAAAAATTGGTTAAAGTGAAGTAACCATAAGAAAATAAATGGCATATTCATGGCTCCGTATATTGGATGGATGCACAACAGTTACACTTTACTTAAAACTCAATTTAGTGATTTGAGTCATTGAATTTATCTAGGAAATGATAAACGTAAGAAGGCCAGTCAAAAATTAAAGAGGATTTTGAATTTTCTTGGAATCGCATGTATGACAGCACTGATTTTTCTATTGTAACTCATAACATCTATCAGCTGTTCATTGAAAATATTGTTTCATTGATAGCTATTTGTGTTTAAAAGTCTGTTCAAAATAAGTTCTCCTTAACTGATTGCACCAAGTAAGAAATGAGAGTAGTGATACATTATATATTCATATTATTGGCAAGCAGTTGTGCCATGCCACCCCTTTCAGGGCACCAATGAATAACCAATTATGAAGATAAAAAATCTGGTGCACAAAACATACAACTTTCACTTACCTCTCTACTTTGAATAGAAATTATTTTCTGGCAATGTTGATCAATTATAAACATTTTGAAGTGCATTTTTAACAGTGCTATAGTTTAAAGCTTACAGCTAACAAATCATTAAGACCACTAACATAAAAAAACCCTATTAATTATATCAATGGTAGACAATAAAACCTTGGTATTCCATTTATACTAAATGTATCCATTTACTAAAATGAGTTGAGAAAACAGAAAGCTGAATCTGACAATATTAAGTGCCTGATTAATATATAAATACATTATCATTTAGCATTGATATTTGACAATGAATAGCATGAAATAAATGTATGTTGTCAAATGGTTAGCAAATATCTGACTGTTTTGGGATAGGAATTGGAATAGGAGGGTTTTGAATATGGATATGGATGGTGAATGTCGAATTTTGATAGGGAGGGAATTCCAGAAATTGACAGAGCGAGCAATAAAGGAGTTGTGGAATGAAGCAGATCTGTGAGAAGACATGCAAAGGTTAGAAGGTCAAGACCTTATGGGCAGGGAATGGACTGAGGATTTGAACTGGAGAAGGTTGTAGGCCTAAGGACAGTGGTTGTTGATGATTAGGTAGAGGAACGTACTTTCTATATTATATATTGTTTTTCTAAAATTCTGAGCTTTCCAACAATATATTATTCATATACCTTCCGACAATTATTTTCTGAAATTCATTTTTAACCTAAATAAACATTTTCCCTTTTTTATTCATTTTTTAATTATCAAATTCTTTCAAAAGTTATATTTAGCATTTTTTCGTAACTCTTAATAATGAGTGTTAATTAATTATTTACAATATAACAAATAAAGGTGTTTTAGAGGAAGACATGTTGAACATTTAAGTCCTGTAAAGTGACATCATACGACTTTTCATTTTTGAGTTAAGACTTACCACATAACATAAACACAGACCATTTTGTACGACTTGGTTATTTAGATTCCGGAGACCTCAAAACGTATATTTCCATTGAAAACTCAGATTTGACAATTTTCACGATGGCAATACTTTCCCTTACATATATAGGAAAGTGAAATTAAAAAAAGAAAAATATCTGAGGATGATATCTCATTTATTTGTCAGTTGTGTCTCTTTCAAAATAAAAATAAAGAACAAAAATGAACAAGTTTTTATTCTTACGTCCTAAGTAAGATTTTTTGTAATGAGATATATGAAAATCTGAAAGCCTTTTTCTCCCAAAATTCGTTTTATTTATTTATATGTAATGTTTCGGGATTTTACATCCTATCTTCAGACTATTACCTTTATATCGTCTCATTCATCCATAACATTTGTCATTATTTTTAGTGTGTTGAGTAGGCTCTTCCTAAGAGAAAAGAGTTCACTCTATTTAATTTATATTAAATGACTAATCTTATTCATAAATAAGAGGATTTAAGATCATAGTCTGAGGATGGGATCTAAAATCCCAAATCATTAAATATAAATAAATAAAAGGAACTTTGGGAGAGAAATGTTGTCAGATTTTCATATACCTCATCAAAAGTGAACAAGCTTAGATTGGAATGAAACATGACTAGACCAAAAAAGTGTAGCATATTTCGACAAAAACCGTGGAATGCTCCATTCCAAGTCTATATGCCTATTTATATAAAATGATAGAAATACAACTGTACCTTAAATTTTATATAATCTGCAACTAACCTTGAGCATGAATGCTACTAAGTATGTTTTCATTTCTTTGCTTCTCCTTATTCAATCTGAACTTGGTCAAAAAATCAATACTATTCACACTACCAAGAATGCCATGCAATGATTCTCCTTTGTAAGAAACTTCAACAACTGGTAGATCTGTTTCTAAAATACTTCAAAAGCAATCTAACATTAGATTAATAAACATTGAAAATTTTTATCAATATTTATATGTCCTTAACTTATAAGTTACTAATAAAGAGACTTAATAAAATTAGCACACATCAGAAATGTTGTAAAGTACTCCAAAAATACTTTTTTAAAACTATAATTGTTTATAATACGCCTTTGAAATCTAAGTATCCTCAGGTCTTCCAGCCACCGCAATCTAGGACACTCTTTTATTCGTTCTCCATCAGGGTATTCATCCAGAAGCTTCTTCGGGATACGCAGCTCATCCATACTCTGTAAACCATCTGATTCTACTCTTGATGCAGGTGACAATATCCGGGGATTTGTATAAATTCACTTGTTCTCGGAGTCCTGGCTCCATCTGTTTATCCTAGATTCCTCAGATAAACTCCTTGCCACATCTCAGCATCCGGTCCCATTCTTATCTTTCCATGATCTTATCCAGATTTCCTACAATATCCCAGTCCCATTTTTCTCTTTCTAAACTATTTTTTTTCCGAAAACTCAATTCCCTAATATATGAAACTCTCTCACATGATCTCGACATTATCCAATGGGACTAAATTGATCACTTAAACGCCATTGATAAAATGGCAGAAACCCTTGTCACTCACCTCCATACCACCCTAGACCATCATGCTCCTCTTATAACAAAAACAATCCGACATCCCCCACTCCTTGGCTAACACTCACTCTGAGAGAATGTATGAGAAGAGATGCTGCGAGACAGCGGTTCAAAATAACTGGCCTTTCTGAATTATCTCTCCTTCAAAGAACTACGAATCAGCACTCAATCTGCAATGCACTGCACCAAATCCCTTTATTTCCATCAATCCCTGTCCAGCACTCCGAATTCCAAAGCCAAGTGGACTATTCTCCATAAATTGTCCTTAGGTAAACCCACCCAAACCCACTCTATCCCTATTTCAGCTGACTTACTCAATATTTACTTTGTCTCCTCCTCTTCCTCCCATTCTTATTTCCTAGTACCAGCTCCGGCTCCCATTTTTCCCTCCTTTAATCCCGATCATTTCTTCTTTTCCCATATTACTCCTGATTACCTCCTTAATTCCATTCGTGAATCCCTAACTAACGATTTTGGACCAGATGACATCCCGATTAAATCCTCACTTCCCTCCATTCTTCCTATCCTTTATCATATTTATAACTTCCTCGGAGCAAAGTTCCGCTTTCCCCAGCACCTGGAAAACTGCTCTTATTCGTCCGCTATATAAAACCGCTATATAAAACCTCCACTCCTGCAATCCCTAACGATTTGTGCCCAATTTCCCTACTACCTAACCTTTCCAAACCTCTAGAACCATTAGTTCAACCCAAATTATCCCACTATATAGAGCAAAATAACCTTCTGAACTACCTCTCCTTCGATCCCATTATACTTATCTTTTTAAATAAAACTTCGACAGTGCTAGCTAATTTTGAGACCTGTTCAACTAAAGCCTCTGTCAAAGATGTTTATTCACCCCATTTATTCTATGTCCTACATTTTTATATCATAATGTTCCATTACATTTCTTTGTTAATTTTTTTTTTTTATTCCTTTTGTTACCTAATTTCATAATGATTATTTCATTAGTCTCCAACTTTGTTGCCGTTATTATTTATTTCATAAGTTCTCGCTGTTACTGTTATTATTTTTTCATAAGTTTCTAACTTTTTTATCATTGTTTATACCCAACTTAGCTTCAGCTACTTTCTATTCGTAGTTTTGTTATCGTTATTTTATTTTTACTTTATTTATATTTCATCTTTCTGCCTATCCACCTATTTATTAATGTTAAGTTTATTCTACCTACATGTTATTAGACTGACTATACCTAAAAATTATTATTTTCTTTTTAATGTTAATAGTTTCTTATACCTATTGTTATCTGGTCTTTTGTTAGCCCTAATGAAGGCCTGAACTTTGAACCAAAACATCGGCAAAAATAAAAATAAATATCATTCAATTATTTTTATTTTGAATTTTTGACTGAACATCCTGACCAACTTCTTTTCAAAAACTAAAACAAATCATTGAAGATAAAATTCCATTTTACAATCATTAGTTTGTTCACAATAAACAAAACAAGAATAGATAAACACCAGTTTTTGTTTACCATTCCTAGAGTGAACATCATGAGTGAGGATTACCAGTACTGTTTACATCTCTTCTCACTGTCTACAGGGAGTGCCTTTTTCATTTATTTTTCATCTATTCTTATTTCATTTTATTTATATAATTCTTCAGATTTGTTTTAATAATTTTTCTTTTTTTATCTTTAATTCGTCTAACAGCCATAGATCAACAGAAACTCATCATCCTGATCCTTATTGATTTCTCTAAAGCATTCGACTCAGTTGACCATAATATCCTCCTATCCAAACTTAAAAATATATCCTTATCATCCAGTATCCTTAAGTGGTTCCAATCCTTTCTCACCGATCGCTCCCAGTACGTTGAAGTTCCTAATAACCCTCAATCAATGTCTCTACCTCTGTCCAGAGGCGTCCCACAAGATTCCTCATTATCCCCCACACTCGTTTCCATCTACATTAATGACCTCCCTTCCTCTATCATACACTGTCAATATCACCTATACACCGATGACGTCCAAATTTATCTTTCCTTCAACCCGACAGATTCTTCTAATGCTATCCTGAAACTGCAACAAGGCATCAATAGAATATGCGAGTGGGCAAATCTTAATAAGCTGACATTGAATACGGAGAAGACAAAAGCCATCCTGATCCGATCCACATGACTCCTCAAATCCATTTCAACACCTCCTAATCTTCTTCTGAACAACTCATCTATCTCCTTCCATACCACCGTTAAAAACCTAGGCGTTACCCACAATCAAAGCCTCTCCTGGAAACCACACATCTCCCACATTTCCCGCCGTACTATATCCACCCTGAAACAGTTTAACCATCTACGTTATCTTCTTCCGTTCAAAACCCGTCAATTCCTGGTCTCCTCTCTTGTTTTCCACCACTTCGACTATGGCTGCATGGTGTATGGTGGACTCTCGGGAGAACTCGAAGCCAAACTTAAACGTTTAATGAATTGCTCAATCCGCTTATCTTCGGGATCTCAAGGGATACCCATATTACCCAGTTCTACACCAAGTTGAAGTGGCTTTATCCGTCCTACTGCCGTCAATATTTTCTGTCTACCTTCCTATACCGAGCCATTACAACACGGCGACCTGCTTATATTCCACAGATCCTACAATTCAAATGCTCCTTTCAATCCCATCCCACCAGATCCCGTGCGTCCGACGTCTATCCTCCTCCTCACCGAACTGCTGAATTTGATAAATCCTTTTTAACACAACTTGTCTCCCTCTGGAACTCTATACCTTCAGATATTCGACACGCAAAATCGATATCCTCTTTCAAATCTCTCCTCTTCGAACACCTACTCCATTCCCAATTCGATTGATCACGAAATGCACTTAAAAACCTAAGCTGTAAAAACCTCAAAGTACACCCAGATACTCAGATTATTTTATAATTCATCGATATTTTGTTCACTTAATTACTTTCTCTGTATATTTTATATTTACACGTATTTATATCTTTTTATCATTTATAACTTTATTGTACGCCGAATCAACCTGTAAATATTAAATTGTATTTCATGGACACACCAAAATATTAATATATATTCTGTATTTGTGACTTGTTCTAAAGGGACACTAGTCCCAGAATAATAAAATTATTTTCATTCATTCATTCAAAATAAAGTCAACATTAGTGTTGAAGAAAAAAAGATAATAAATGAAAATAAAAATAAACCGGATACTGTATCAAATATACCTATGTTAAATTATAACATGAAAAGAAATTGCCCATTGTCTCAAAATTCCTCTTTGAGTGATCAAAGTGTTTCTTCGAAAAATACATAAGTTACAAAACAAAAAACAAAGTAAAATCAATCAGAATAGCCATGTGGAGTGTAAGAAGCCTATTTGGGCCGGGAACAAGTAGGATTTTGGAAGATAAGCTGACACAATACAGGATAGAGCTTGAAGCAATACAAAAAATTAGTTTGGTTGCTTGGCAATGATAACTTCCAGATATTAACAATTCGAGTATATTTTTAACGTTACATGTTAACAGGCTAGTTTACGTTTCGGGGCCTTTATTCCCATCTTCAGAACTGCAATTCCAATACTTTTGTGGATGCAAGGCTAAAATTTTTTTTTTTTTTTATGTTACAATATTGTGCTTGTTACATTACATATTTGTATAATGTTTGTTACAATAAATTTGTAATTACCTTAATTTTAATGATAATAATAATGTGCTTCATCGTCAATTTTCTAATTTATGTTCTAAAATTTATCATCTAGAGCAACATCCTCCTTTTGACCAATAATTGGGTTTCTGCCATAGTGAAAAATTGACCTTTGGATCTAACTGTTTTATCTGACTATTTTGATTGTTGTTGTTAGTGTTTATTTTATGATTTCACTTCTATTAAATTTTAATTTTGTTTAATATGTCTGTATAATGGGTTCCTAAATGTTTAGTGTCTGTTTTGTAGTTGACTGTTGTTCTGTTGTTTTTTGTAATGTGTATTGCTTCAAGTAATTTCCTATTGGTGTTTTTTGGTTCTGTGCCTATTATCTGTGGTTTGTTAAAGTTAAATTTATGCTGTAGTTTTATACTGTGATGTCCTAAGGCTGTTGTGTTTATGTTTTTTGGATTTTTACAGTTGGTGATGTGTTGTGAGATTCTAGTTCCTAATTGTTTGGATGTTTCACCAATGTAGATTTTGGGGCAGTTTTGACAGTTTAATGTATATATTGCATTTTTCTTGTTTATTGGTTCTATTTTATCTTTTGTGTTGGTGATACACAACTCATCACCCAGTTTTTTGAAAAAACAAATCCAACAAACGAAAAAAATCAGGATAACATAGCACAAACAAACAAAATGGACTTCAACTACTACTACAAAATGACACACATACCTGGACTCACTAACAAAATTAAAAACGTGTTCAAAGATTATGACTTGACAGAAATTAAACTTGGACAATACAATAACAAGAAACTAAGCAGGCACATCACGAACACAAAAGATAAAATAGAACCAATAAACAAGAAAAATGCAATATATAAATTAAACTGTCAAAACTGCCCCAAAATCTACATTGTAAGACAAAATTTCATCAAGTAAGACAGTTGTGATTTTTTTTAGCAAAAGACAGCCAAACTTATTACCATCACTGACCATAAACAATCAATCATCATCCACCAACATGTCGTACGGTACTTAGAAATGCCCTTTGATAGAACGCTCGGATGGACTTAGCATGTTAAACAATTAAAAGCAAATTACCTCCGCTCCCTGAATCTTTTAAGAATGGTCAGTAATACTAGCTGGGGTGCCGATCGAAAAAGCATGCTAACCCTGTATAGGATAAATAAGATCGAAATTTGACTATGGCTGTAATGCTACAACTTGGCATCGAATACCATTTTAAAAATTCTAGATCCTGTGCAACACGCCGCCCCCAAAATGGCTACTGGTACTTTCCGATCAAGCCCTGCAAATAGCCTATGTGTCGAAGCTGGCGAGCTTCCGCTTGACATACGGAGACAACAACTTGACCTCATTTACTTTGTTAAGATCCGTTCTGCTTCTAATCATCCACTGACTGATTTATTTTCAAATATACAATACATAAATCAACAACAAACTGAATTACCAAATAGAAAACCCTTTACAATCAGAGTTTCAACTTTACTAAATAATATAAATATTGAACAGTTTCGCCAATTTATCCTTGGGGACTTCCCTCTCCAAAAATTCTTCTTTCTTTCACCAAATTTATTAAAAAAACAATGCCTTATATATATAAACAGGAATTTCTCAAACATCAAGAAAGATACATTTCATTTTACAGAACAATACAGATGAAATTGATAAAACTATTTTCTTTTCTGAAATGTTCTAAACTTGAAAATACAATCTAATTCTCAATGAAAATAAGACAATAATGACCCTAGTGGTTGAAGCCTTAAAAAAAAAAATTGACTTTTGAGTATGGATTTTTCTTTTTTTAATTTCTTTTCTTTTGATCTCCATTTTGATAATTTTTAAATACCACATTCAGTTTTAAATCCAATGTGTTGTTTATTTTCTTTACAAGCAGTAATATTTATCATTATTTAAAATGCCAAGTAAGTTTGTACCATTCTTCAAATGTAAAATCTTGAATGAACTTAAATACTTAGGATTTTATACTTGAATACTTAGGATGGAACAGGTTTTTACCTGATGGAAAAGTTTCATTCCTTATCACGTCAGTTGAAGAGAAAAATCATTTCCTAATTATAAAATATTTTAAATGATTATGTTTTACAAGTAAAAATGTAAAGGAATGTTCTACGGATTTTAACTGTATAACAATCCGGGCTCTAATTATAAAATACCATAGGTTTTGAACTATGGTAATAAAATTAAGTTACTTTCTTGGTACATCAAATGTAAAAATATGATAACTATAATGTCTTCATCCTGAAATTTCAAGAGTAAACATTTTTTTTATTTTTACAGCACTAAATTCTGATCATTTATTAAAATGTAAATATGATAATTATACAGATCGTTATTATTGATAAGTAATAGGTTTAATTACCATCTATTGCCATTTTTCAGTTGTTTCTTCACTTTTTTAAGCATAGATTCATACGAAATATCACATTCATTTTTAATCTGAAGATCTTCTACATCAACTCTGCGATTTGAAGACTTTTTTGATTTAGGAGATCTCACCTTACTTTTCATCTGGTTTTTACTTTTAGAACTAATTTTAGTAATCTTATCCTTTTCCATCATATTATATTTATTCCTCCGAGAACTACCACATAAAGGATCAGTACTTTTTTTCTCTTTCCATTCTTTATTAACTTCTTTATGGGATGCATTTACATTTTCAACATTAGTAGATTCTTTTAAGAATTCAGGACAAACATAAAAATTACCATCTTTAAGAGAGTAGTTATTCTTTATACTGTTCGATTTTTCAATAATCTTTTTATCTAAATCAGATTTTGAGGTATTTTTTTTTGTTTTATGGCTTAAATTTTCTTTAAATTTTGTGAGATCTGCTGACTTAGAAATGTTATAAGTAATATGGTCATCATTAAAATTATTTTTTTCTTCATCAGAATAAATAAGTTCTTCGAAAAACGAATTTGATTCCTCAGTGTTCCATTTATTAAAAGGAGGTTCAGATGAAGTTATATCATGGTTAAGTTGTTCAAATTTTGCATCATTCAATCTTGTAACAAGTTTTGTTCTTTTGGAACAGTCATTTTTTTCATCGCTAATTCTTCTCTTCCTTTTCCACACAATATCATTTTCTGAATCTCCCTCAGCCACGGTGACATTACTGACTATGAGAACAGCTGATGTGTTAGTTTTCTCTTTGTTCTCACTATCAAAATGCTGCAATTCTTCAAATATATTATTTTCAATATTAGGTATAGATGAACAAGACTGGGATTTGGATTTCAAATTAGGCAGAGAACCATCAAACTTAGAATCTAAATGCTTATCACCAATATGTAGTTTAATTGCATCATTTTTTGAGAGATCATTTACAGCTACCTCTGAAAAAGAATCCTTAATACAGGGATTATTACTCAATAGCTCATTAGGACAATTTACTCCTTCATTTTCCTTACTTTCATCAGCAAGGTTACTGATAATATTACTATTATTCTTTTCACCATTTTTCTGAATTGTTTCTGAAAATAAATTATCAGAATCAAGATAATCTAATAAATTATCATTTCCACAGATTTCTGATTTTTTATCTTCATCTTCATGAACTAAATCTTTTTTATCCAAATCGACAATAACATTATTAACTTCTTCATTATTCAAGTTAATTTCATTTTCTGAATCAGATTTTCCTATTAAATTTATAACTTTGGTTGTAATTTCAGGAACTATATATGGATCTTCATCAGACACTTCAACTTGTTTTGAGCCACTGATTTCAGATTTTGTAGTAATCGGATGTTTACTACTATCTTTAAAATCTGCATCAACAACTTTGACCTGAGTATTAATAGGATTCAGACTCTTAGTTATCTCTTCTTTAGGTAACTCTTCAGGCTTCTCGTTCTCATGTTTCATGACATTACTGATGCCTCTCAGACTTTTACTTTTAACTTTTGAGTAAACAGTATTAGGTTTCATATCTATATTGACATCTTTACAGCAGTCAGCAATATCTTCAGCCATCACTTTTGAGTGTTTGTCCACAGTTTTGGTATCACTCAAATGTCCGATTGTCTTATTAGAATCTACACTTTTTATCTCAATATTGGAATCCTCCATGCCCACAGAACTAGAACTTTCAGTATTCTTGATATTCTTGATTTCATTCTCAGAACTAGAACTTTCAGTATTCTTGATTTCATTCTCAGAACTAGAACTTTCAGTATTCTTGATATTCTTGATTTCATTCTCAGAACTAGAACTTTCAGTATTCTTGATTTCATTCTCAGAAGAGTCAGGTTGTTTCAAACCTTCCTGGTTAGGAACAGAACTATAAAAAGAAAATATTTTAATGAAGGAAAATTATTACAAATTAAAATTTTTAGAATTTGCAACCAATAATTCCATACAATTAGCAAAAGTAAAAACATCAAACAATTTATGTTTTACTTTCAGATAAGTCTGCTTTTCCTTTCACTAAATTATATATGTAATTTATGGTAAGGGAAAGTATTACGAGCATGAAAATTTTCAAATCTGAGTTTTCAACAGAAATGCATGTTTTTATGTCACCTGAGCCCAAACAACCAAGTCCCCCATAATGATATGTGTGTGTGTGTTTGTGTGAATAATCTAACTCAAAATGAAATGTTGCGCGCAACTGAAATTGCGTATTTAAGTTTTGTATATGTCTGGAATGTTACAGTAACATTAGTTTACCAGAAATGGCAATTTATATCATCAATTTTACAAATTTCTCGAAAACTGTCCTAATGATTTTAATTAAATTTATTATATCAATGTAAAATTAAGCAATATAAAGTATAATGTAGGTTTTATTCTCATTGATGTTCTCTAACAGGATATAAATGCCAAATTGTCAAAATTTCTTCCTCTAAAGTACCTTTAATTTTTTTTATTTGAAGTAATTAACCATGTCACATAGGGGGGCAAATGGGTAGGATAACAGGAGGGCTGGAGAGGGAGATGGGTGCGGAGATCTCCCCCACTCCTTGTGGAATGATCCAGCAATAGTGCCCAACCCACTTCTTGTGACTTCCCACCAGTCCTCCCTATCTCTATCAATGCCTACTGTCACCTTGTCGTGGTGCCCCCCAGGGATTCAGATGGGATTCGCGAACAACAGAGGTAGGGATCCACAATTCTGCCCTCTAGCTGAGAGGACAATTGTGTGGATCCTTCTATGACACCCAGATGGAGGACGCTAAAAATACACTGTCAATTCGACCCACTTGGAGCACCTGTGATAGGATAGCACCTGTAGCGACCTTTCAGTCACTCCCATAATCGTGGGAACGAAACAAAAAATTTGAACAAACGGACAGACAGGACAGACAACACTGGTAAAGACATGGCTATGGACCTGGAATTACTTTCGGAAATGGAATTGTTGGAGAAGGAAGTGGCTGGGGATACTTAGAGGGGCCATCGATGGACCCTCGTGAGGAAAATTCAAGAAGCTCCACTGAGACTATCTCTGCTGAGGTTCCTAAGCTCTCTATGATAACAGGCTGATGGAACTGGTGTCCCACTAAAACTTCAAGTTCTCTGGTGCACAGAGAAGAAAATATAAAAGGATGAAGAGGCTCGAGGCTATGAACTGAGCTACCGGTTACAGCAGCTCTGGCTGCAATGGCACCGATTAGTGAGAGCCCGGGCCAGTCACGAAGCGTATCAGATCCTTGCCAGGGAACTCAACGCCTGTGGCAAAGAGGGCCAGAAGCGGGGAAGCTGGTGCAATTTCTTATGCTCTGGCAGCTGGGGGCAGTAGGGTGGCAATTATCCCTTGTGGATATCCATCAGTACAGCTTTCTAGGGAACAGAGCGAGGAAGTTAAAACCCAGGTAATCAAATTTGCTGATCGTCTGGAGTTCGGTGACGTTATCCCTGAATTTAATGGCTTCAGCCACCATCTGGGGAGATGTATCATCGTCAGCAATGACCAAGCCACCAAACACTGGAGTTATAGTGTAGTGGACGGCTTCAAAATCAGTGGGGGTATCTAACTCCCTGCTGGTAATGTAGAGGAACTCAAAAAAGCTACTTATTAGGAGACTCCACATTCAAAATGGTAGGATCTCAGATATTGATAGTTGGCAGATATTGGGAACCAAGTCTAACTGACTCTATGGAATCCTTAGGATCCCTGAAACAAGTATCAAACACTATAGTGAAGTAAAACATCTTGGGATTACTTTAGATAGTAAGTTAAATTGGCTAATACATATTGAAAAGATTAGTGGTAAGGCTATACACTGTCGTGGGCGTGTAAAAGAGTTGTTGGCAAAACGTGGGAACTGAAACCCAGCATGGCCTTATGGCTATATAGAACTGTGATTAGACCTATAATCCTCTATGCAACTGTGGTGTGGTGGCATAGGACAGCTGCTGGCAGGCCTAGAGTACTGCTTGTGTAGTAGATAGCCCCCTGAATTACTCCTTTATGTGACATTGTGTGAGAGAATGAGAAGGAATATATAGGAATGTGAGGTTGCGATAGTTAGGAATGAATTGTACTCAATTATGCAGTGGACAAATTATTCATTGAGAAGTCTCATATCGATAAACCATCGATAAAGAAGAAAGAAGGAAAAAGACAGCTGGAGAAGGACGCTGGAGAGGAGAGAAGGCACTTGAGGCTGTGACATTGGGGTGGAACGACGACATGAGGTGAGATGAGAAGCCTACTACATTGAAGACCAAGAATATCAAGCCTACAGTTATAAGACTATAATAGATTCACTTATTACAGTTGTAAAATAAATTGTTTTGTTACACAGGAGTGAAAAGTCATTTATTTATTTAGTTGTCCCATAGGCCTCACAATTGAAGAATAATAAACCAGGTGAGTCAATTCATTCAAAGTGTATTTACTAAGTCCTACATTTCATATATATATATTCTTATTGTTTCTTCTCACTCAGTGTCATAAAAGTATTAGGTTCCCAAATTCTTAACAACAGTTAAACACCCTAAAAAAACCTATATCCAGTGCCGCGGGGTTTTGTTTTAATATTCACGAGTGTAAATAACCTAGTCCCCCCATAAAAGCAGAAGGCTATTCGCAATTCCCACCAAAACAAGTTATTTACAATTAACTTTTAATAGGTTATTTACAGTTGGCAAGCTTCAAAGGCTTGCATGCCTTATGACGACGGGAGCTATGAGCACTACCCCCACTACTGCAATGTAGGTTCTTTTGAATCTGACACCATTGCATTTAGAGGTGGAAGCACCTGCTCTTATAACTGCCTATAGGATAGATCAACTGGGAACGAGATCAAAATTCCTGACGTTTCAGGACGATGGGATCGTTTTTGATAGGATTGATGGAAATGAGGTACTTGCAATGATCTTTGACTTTCAAGTTGATATTTATAGAGGCATATTATATAATCTGAATATAAGCAGGAGTAACTCACATCGACGATGTAATAGAGTTAACTGTTATACCGACGGCTCCTTAATGGAGCAGTGATCAGGGGCTGGTATCTGGAGAAAGGATAAGCCTAACGAGGGAATATTCGTGTCTCTAGGTAAATAGGTCCGTCTTTCAAGCTGAGATTTTAGCCATCGATTTCTGTGCCCAATCACTTATTAAGGAGGGCATTATGAATAGATTGATAAAAATATATACGGATAGTCAAGTGGCAATTGGGGCCCTGAATAGTTATGCAAGTCTCTCAAAGTTTGTGGAAGAATGCAAAGGCAATCTTAATCTTCTTTGTAATACTAAGGTGAGAGTAGAATGGGTACTTGGGCACTCAGGAATTCCAGGAAATGAGAAAGCCGATTATCTTTCTAGGAAAGGCTCTGCACAGGTGCCGATTGGAGCAGAGTCTATTTGTGGGATCAGCCTTGGCTTTGCCAAAAGATATATTAAGACAATTGTATGCAATAAATTTATGCTACATTGGGCACAGACTAGAAAACAGATTCATTCTAAATTATTTTGTAGGGCCTTGCCATAAAAGAAGCAATTCACTTCTTCTAATGGGCAGGAATACCATTAGGCGGGTGACAGGACTGTATACTGGTCATTGTCAATTAAATAAGATTCTTTTCAATTTGGGTGTAAGTGAAACCTCCACCTGCAGGCTATGTAGCATGCAGAATGAAATGGCCTACCACATTATTTGCAGATGTGATAATTTGGTTAGACTGCGATACTTTCACTTTGGATGTGATCGTATCACTGACCCCAAGCACTGTGAATTGAATGATCCCATCAGTATCAATAGGTTCGCAAAGGTATTTGGCCTATTTTAACTGAGTTTAGTACGACGCACAATAGGGCTTTTTGAGGCCACCGTGCACCACCTACATGTCGGAGTAAAAAAAAAAAAACACCAAGTCACATTGGTAACTGATATAAAAAATGTTTAAATATGATGAATGAAGAAAATTGATTAGTAACTAAAGGAGAAATAAGGGTAGGAAGCTATACAGAAACAGCCGAGAGCACCCAACCTTTGCTGCTCCTCATCCTTAACAGATACCCGATACCCCTTTGTACAGGGCTTTAATATTGTTAGTTTGATACCCCTTTGTACAGGGCTTTAACATTGTTAGTTTAACTTTTATATCTCATATATCCATAATTTTTTTTAAATGTTTTCACAGGAAATGTTGATAACCTACTAATATAAACCTAACTATATACAATATTCACTAAAATTAAGTTATTATTTTGATGAATTTAATGATATATATTTCCAATAAAATTCAGATTTGTTGCAAAAGATCTGTTTTTCCACACAATTATCAGTATTGTTTAGTACTATACATAGTTGTAAAATAAAATGGAAAGTGATGTAAAATTATAAATTTAACAGATTCGTTGGACGGAAAAACATGGTAATTAATTGTTTTAAATGAAGTTATACTGTCGTTTCCACTTTGACTTCCCTATATATATATATGAAAATACCTATCTACCCTGAGGTTGGTAAGTGAAAGTTGTGTGATGCGTGCACCGCACCAGATTTTTTTTTGTGACACTACATCAAAAAATTGAGACACATGTCTAAGGCATTAAGAGCCGAGAAAAAAAAATATTGTATTTAATTTCAAACAAAATTTATGTTATTTTTGTCAGAATTTTTAAGTTATTATTGGTTGTATGAATAAGTTTTCACTGTTTGTTATCTTGAGAATTTGTATTTACCTACATCCATCTGGCAACACTAAAACCAATTATATTATATTCTCCGGTTATCAGTCTACTTTAAATCCTCAGTGTATATGTTTTTCATATCTCTTCAAACATAACAAATTTCATACACTCAAAACAGTTTTTATAGAGAATTT